TCAGTAGTTGCGCTATATATGGCCCAGCGGTCGTAAATGTTTTCCATGTAACCTTGCGATAGTAAAAATATATCTATAATAAACCCTACTCTATATTGTAATGTAACTGAATAAAATATAGATTCACTTTTATAGGAAATTGTGAAAACTGTTTCTCATTTTCTATGCTTGGGCTTGTAACTCTATTTTAACATCCTCCAAACTTGTATGGCTCATCAGTGTAAAAAAAAATTTGAAACATATTTGACGCCCAATTCAAAAGCAGTGTACTGCCCCCTTATTGTGTACAGTGGAAACGTGAGAACATCAATTCATAGAAACATAATTTGTCTTTTGTTTCTACAGCGTTTCTACACCAGATAAATAAGAAATCATATTCGATATCGATTACACCACATACAATATTAGGAATATAAATAATAACATGAGAGCTATGCTCAAATACACAAGGGCAAAACTAAATATTTTATCATCTACTCCCCGATAATCATAAGCGGTAAGTTACAAGTAGCCGATCGGAATCCGATCAACTCGGCTACATCATACGAAAAACTCGACTCGAAACGGACAAATATCAGAGACAACTTGATTACAAAGGGTACCGGTGGGGGTGCTACTGATATGCGTTCTCGGAACCGCCACACGGTGGCACACTTTCGGGACGTAATAGCACATAATGAAACAAAGCCAGTAGAACTCACAAACATATTTGAAAAAAAAAATAGAAGTAATAGCCTTCTAGGAAAAAATTCAATTTTTAACATTGAAAATTTCAATGGTATAGTAATCAGAATCGATATGATCAAATTTTATGCCCATTCCATTCGGGAAAAACAAAATGTGACTCAAACTCAGCCGTATGCCAAATATCATAATTATTTTTACTCACTTCCGACAGTATAAATTGAATTGATTTTTTTTTATGGAACAAACTTGAAAAAGGGGAGGGTCCATTCATGCCCATCATTTTTTCGTCTCAATATCCCCGCAAGCCATAGTTTTACCCTAATTGCGAAATTCAGTTTTGCCACATGATCTCAAGTGACGTGTTTTCACGTGATTAATATTATCCAATCAGAACTACACACATCATACGGGCCTACTCGTGAGCAGAGTTCTTAGTTTTTCAGCTGTAAAGAATATAATGGTAAGAATTCGGAGAGAGCAATTTAACTGTATGAAGTATATGCCAAAGTTTTATTTATCTTTGGTATCTCTGCACATAAACAGCTGAAACAGATAATACCTGCAAATTTGACAGTTTTGAAAAGCGTGTCTTTGTTCTCTGTCTGCAAAATACAATGGTGATCTGTAGTATGAAAAACAAGATGGCGGACATCGGAACGTAGTATGTGTACCAGGCTAGAGTTAGGACATAGTTTCTTTCCAGTTTTATTAATTTAGTTCTATTACGAGTTTGTGGACTACCCAAGTGACCACCGTAGTATTTGTACCTAAATTCGTGACCTTACTCTGACCTGGTACGCATACTACGTTTCTGAGCCCGTCATCTTGGTTATACACTACATGAGTACTCATGCAACATGCATTCAGTCAGCTTTCATCAAACAAAAAACATTATCTTCAGGGCAGGAGGTCAGTTACAAAACTTCAATTCAACTTCAACACAGAAACAGAAATGTTACTACGTCATTTAAATGCTAATGTTGAAAAAAAGTAGCACAATAAACTGTGAAAAAATATAAGAAACAGCAGGAAGGCATATTCAACGAATGCAATATTAGTCATCAATAAATTTAACCCGATTACAAATAAACAATGTTGCACGTCACATGAAGTACCTGTATCGGTTAAATTAAAAGGATATGTACAGCAGAAACATATAAAAATCGCTCTGAAGCAACTGTAGCACCAATTTCAGCTTCAAATAATTTTCGAAATCTACTATACTGTAATATAATGAACTATTTGTACTTTATTGTCTTGGTTATTTTCATTAAATTAAGTAATTAGATATATTTTTTGCATGTTTTGTTTAACAACAGAGGAGGAGTTCTACAACTGGGAGAAGTTTTATCTTTGTTAGGGATTTTACATTAATTTAAAAAAAAACATTATTACAGCCATGACAGATATTTGATAAGAACTAAGATATTCATCTCGCTTATTTGCCCGGTGCAATATGATTAGCCATTTCATGCATGGCTATAATTGAAAAGTTATTATCCGGAGAAACACTCAAAATGACTTTATCGAGAGAGAGTACACAATGAGAAAAAGTCAAATTTTGCAGAGACAGAAACTGCTAGTTTTATAAATAGAATCGATTTGAAGCTGTTAAGTTAATAACGAGATAGCGATCTGAGACCGCCGACTTATCGATCCTCGACAAAAAATCAGTTAATTAATTAATAACTCGCGATTTATTGAAAAAAAAGGAAAACAAAATGAAATGAAGAAAAAAAAATTTGGAGCAGATTCAACCTCGTTTTTGTGAGATTTGCAATGCAAATGCAATTTTGAATTTCCGGGGCAACAGTTTTATCTATATTAATGATTGTTTATCATTTTGCTGAGAATTACACAGAAAAAAAAAAACTGAAACCATTATACCGGTAATTGACTTATATATTATATTAATTTATAAGTTTCTGATACCCATAACATATGCCCACAGTTATATCTGAGTATGTCAGGTTAACATTTCCTGTTCCTGAAGAGGAAGACTGATATTGAAGTAACGGAAATTTGTTCAAGCATTAACTGGAGTTAGTTGGTTTAATAAAGTGTGACTGCAATGAAAATAAATACCAAAATTAAGCTACAGACAATATATCTCAAAAATGCCATTTTGTGGTTCACAATATGATTTATATTAATATCGGTAATTGGTATCAGTTATTAGCCACAAGTTGGCCGATGTAGCGATATCGGTGATATCGGTCGAGCTCTATTCAGGAGTACCCATTTTTGCACACTAAAACCATAAATTGCAAGTTATATCAATAGAGCTGTGAAATATTGTTTGAACGGTCAAATAACCACGCTATGGCCATTTCAAAGATTGAAATCAGTTTCAAAGGCTAACTATTAATCCAAACTATTAAATATGACAGAAAGAAATTCCCAATAAACTACGATTTTGTAAAAACCATTGTGTCACAAGTCACAAGGTTCAAGTGAATTATTATTCATGGATATTGGACTTACTCAGGGTTGTAATTCTAGATTCCAGGGGAATAGATTTGGGTACACCAATTCAACATTAATCTTCCAATTCATTTTTCGTTCAGAAGGCAGTTAGTTCGTTTTTTGAGAATTAGAAAATGTCTATAAAATTGTATATTTTGCTCAGCTGATTCAGCCATGAATCATTTACCCAGTGGTAAAGACGTATCTCTGATTTGCTTAATGCCGAAGCGGTATGGCCAGTAACAAAAGGCTTCATTCATTGTTTTTTTCGTAAAGCTTCATCTGAAATTTGAGACCTTCACATTCCTTGCTGAATACTGTCGAACAAAAAGTATTGGAATTTAAACGCTCGATTTATCTTTGTGTCATGTATGACAACAGCTAACAAGCTTTTAGAGAAAAAAATAAAGTTGGTACGCATTTGTCGGTTGTTTGACGTACAGTAAAGCTATTATAGACATCATTGCACATGTGCTTTTTATGTTCGCGGGCGTAGAAAAAGTAAATCGTCTAAATCAATTACCATTTCAAAAAGGTCCCTGTGCTAATTGTCTTATATACGAAATTTTTGGTGGTAAAAGACAATTGTAGTCACTATACCTTGCATTTATTTCAAAAATAGCTGTGGGGTCTATGGCATTCTTTTTTTACTCTAAAATCTTGTGCGATTACATCATAAAAAAAATTAAATTAAATTGCAGACTTTATGGTCTGGTGATCTGGTGGTCAGCAAAGTGAGTTTGTTTTATAAGATACTGGAAAAGATTTGATACTACTACGTTACTAGCCTTCATGTTCCTATATTGGAGTGTCGCTCTCTTGTTTAAATTTTAATGGTTTACAGCCCTCATAGTAAAAGTTATGCTGGAAATAAAATACAATTAGGGGCCTTTCTCACTTCATTAAACAACAACAAGGACAAAAGAGCTCATTTAAAGGGCAACCCGACTCTCAAGTATGGTCGATGCTAAATAGTTGTGAAAAAATGATAGGAATGAAAAAATAAATAAAAATTTGACTCCATATCAAAGGGCGGTTTATTTTCTGGCATCCCCACAGTCAGTCGCATAAATATTAAAACAATAATATTATGAATTAGCTGTTTAACTTTTATGTCTGACACGGTAGTTTAGTTCAAAGTTTCCCAACCGGAAGAAAATTTTGCTTTTTTTGGGGGGGGAGGGGAGTCTTTCTTTGTATTCGCTGTAGGATTACTAATATTCTTTAGTTTTATTATTATAAATTTTTGTTATGAAGTCTTAAATTGGACATAAACGGGACTGCGACTTGTGCAAAACATTATCTAAGGATTCATTAAAGAGTACCGTGGTTTTATGCATAGTGAAGGGTTACGAAAAAAGGCAAAGAGATGAATTTAGTGGTTGAAAATCACTGAATCAGTCCCACTCTCTGTGGATATATTTTGTTTAATTTTACAAATCGACAATAATATTGAATAAACACAAACAACTTTCACAACGTCCGAACAAACTAACCTAAATACGATTTCTGTATGCACTATGTATTGCTACAATCTGAGATAACACTGCAAAATCTATCTAATGTTTCAGACATAAATAAGCTTATTAGCTAGTTTGAAAGTTATAAAGTACAAAAAATATGGTAAGTTTATTTTATCGTTCTTTGCAAACTAATTCCTACTATTATAATTACATTCTTTAGATGTATATTTCCAAGTTAATATTTTTTATTAATTTACATCGTTTGTCCCTTTTTAGATTCTTTTCTGTTACTTAAATTTTTCCCATTCCCAGCACATTCTGCCTGTTTTTTATTCTTCTTTTTCACATTTTAGATATTTTTTTTTTGACATTTTTTAGTAAGATGAGCCAGGACCAAGCTGTGCATCTATGCGCGGGCTTTATCCAGCTTCAACGAGTACTCTTAGTTACGTGGATTCAAATGATATCCTCAGGTTTAAGGTTAGTTGATTTTCATTATAAATAACCGCGATGCATCATAAAGTTATAGTACACGAACTGGACCTACAGGTCGTTTTGTGATTATTTTTATTTTTTATGTTTTTCCTGTTGTCTTAAAGCGTTAGAAAAAAATCGTCTTTCTCATTAATTACTGTACCAATGGCTTAAAAATTTCCAGTGATAAAAGATTGTATTTTTATTCATTTCAAAACATAATGTGGGCTCTATAGGATTCGATTTTTGTTCGCAAAGAGGTCATCAAAAAGGGCGCACCTTGTGGCGGTTACTGTTTTGCCTTAGTCGTGAAGTTTGATCAATTAGAATTCGGATTTAGAACAGATTCAGATTCAGATTTTATTTTCGTCATGCAAAACCAATATACGATATGAAAAAATAAAAAAAGACATATAACAAATTACGAAGACGGATATCGGCTTGTTGCAATAGACGAGGGATCGCGAAAGACTCAAAGAGTCATCCAGTCAGCGACACCTTGTAGCTGCATTGAAGCAGCAAATATAGCAACCGAACAACTCAATATTAAATAGTCACTAAATTCGACACAATCATATATATATAAGGGACAACAAAAAGAATGCCACAGCCCACAATGACCACGAAAATTTACCTAAACATTCACTTAATTAGACTCAATCTAATTCAATCTAATTCAAGAACAACAAGTCTTTGTTTTAAAACAGAATATCGTGACTAAGCAAGAGGAACTAATCAACCAGCTTCTAAAAGATTGCAAAGGTAAGCAAACGATTGAATGGCTTGAAAAAGTACTCGCTACAGCAAAAACTGCTTTGGAGTTTTCAAATAAACAATCAGATAGCGCAACCAATGGCGGCAAAGATGCCAATCCAATGGTGACAGATAAACTCAAGAAAATTCAAGCAATGTCAGTAGTTCTAGTATTTCTTTTAGCAATGACCGCGTACAACTTTTACGAAATTGCATAGGAGACCGTTAAAATTAATTCAAATACGACGATGTAATACAACAAATTAATTTCTAGTTATAACAGTGTAACATTTTTTTTTTTCAAAAATATGCGTAGTTTCTAAAATTCACTTTCTGTAATAAATTGCAGATAATCTACAAAGAATGGTTGAAGCTTTAGGAACACGATTGGACCATATTGACGCCAAGCTGGCAGAAATTGATTTACAAAATCAGGTTTGTTGAAATAAACAATAGTGTTGTTGAAAAAAGTTAAAATACCATATTAACAATATCATTCTGCTTTAATATTTGGAAAATTTTTGCATGCCTTGCAAGCTTGTAGCCTGGGATAAGATCATTTTAGTAAAAACCAATTCTATATCTATTTTTAACTTAAATTCACTAGAATAAGAATATTTTGACAGTTACTTTTCAAATGCGTAAATATTGCAGCTATGAAATGTTAATATGTCACATCAAGTATAGATTACGTAGTTGATTTTGCTTCTCAAAACTGCAGTATTTGTCAGTGTATTACCGTCCCTAAACGGAAAATATAAATATTACGGCCAGTACCTTTATACTTCATGCTATTATTATACTGTCCCTACCACCACCAAAAGATGGGTTAGATTATATAATAAAGCAAATAAATGGGCGAGCGCTAACCTACGATATTCAGCTTTAAATAATAAATTGAAAAATTATTTGTGACTATCTTAGAATGGCCACAGACTGGCTAATTATGACGGCAAAATCATTTTGAGGATTCAAGACTTTCAACAACAACTACATAATGCGAGGCGAGGCCGGGTTCGTTGGATATACAGTCATCCCTTTTACACATCAAAATGCGGCTATAAAATGTGCCTAAAGATCTATCTCAACGGAAATGGAAAAGGTAATTTAAATATGCATAATAAAACGTTAATTACTATGTATACCGCACATATAATACACATATATAAAAATATTTCATGATTTACTTTCTTTCAATTTATCGTGTTTTTACTAAAGGGCTAATAAAGCAGATTTAATTGTTCGAAATAAGGCTAATACGGGTGCTATACACGTGTGCTCATTTCCATTTTTCAGTAAGAGATACTATAGTTATTTTTGAATTCTACTCGTGTTTACTTTAATTTTACTTTCGTAGTCCACTGTTTGAATTTAGGCTTTGTATTTATTTATTTTAACATTAGCGCAGGGGTGTGCAAACTGCGGCCCGCGGGCCAAATGCGCCAACGCGGAAAAATTGTGCGGCCCCCGTAGAAGTGCAAATTTTGAATTACGTGCGGTCCATGAAACGAGTTTTTAATTCAGTTTAATCTGGCACGTGTAAGTAATTCCAATCCCATTGTCTTGAAAAGACTATACCCGAGCCCATTTTATTATCTGTGACTTTGGTGTTACAATGCCCTAACAGCCAGCTTGTGCGAATCGAACAACGCATGTCATAAGATAAATAACCAAAATTTTTGTGTCTGCAACTACTGGAAAACCTATGAGGTGCGGCCCGCGGGCTCACTTAGCTATTTGTATTTGGCACTCCTTTAATAAAAGTTGCACGCCTTTGCATTAGGGTATCAATGCAGTAAAAGTATAGGCTCCAGTATCCAAAATTCCACTCTGTTTAAAAACTTTGAAGTGATGGACAAAAATATCAGCAAAAATAGGAGAGAGAATACATAGAATTACCGAAATTTTTATCTGCAGGGTTAAAGACTCACACCTCATTCTTTTTCGTTTTAATGCAAGGAGACTACGACAATTTGCTACCATTTCCATTTCGCCAAAATGTATGTATTGAAGTTATAGAATAAAGCATTTAGTTTTCTAAAAAAAAAATACTCAATCTATAGAACCCACTTTAAGTTGTCATGTGTGTAATTATATACACATTGCGTCGTTATGATGAGTCCAGCCTCTGCATAATAATCTTTCTCATGGTAACTCAGGCATGAGACAAATATCAGACAAACCACGGATATCAGAATTACAATGTGTGGAACCTTTTTATGGCATCGTAAGTGTAATTAAATATACATTGCCATCGTTATGTCAATTTCAGCTTCGAAATAATAATGTTCCTTTTGGTATCTCAGAGTTGACACGAAACCAAGAATATAAGAATTGCAATATGCGATACCATATATAAAACCATCATTTTTCTGTATTTCAGGTTACCCTCATGCTCATTGATCCCAACCAACCTGATGCCGGGACCAACCGTCAGCATTTGTCTTATGTAGTCCAACCAAATTCGACGTCGAGTTCGTTCAAAAAGCCTATTTCAGATAAGAATATAGGCAATGGAGACCACGAGTTCGTGGCCCACAAAGCTCTCGGACCATATGTGAAGGACGACTCCATTTTTATTGGTGCAATCGTCGATACCACAGGGTTGGAAAATTTTTGAATAGAACGCTGTAATGACCTAGTGGTCGGGGCGTTAACAGCTGGTGTTTTAAAGAAATATTCAATGATGAACCGGAAAAACTATGGTTCTGTTCCCGCTTATTTGTGATTTTTAGTAGTAGTAGTATTCGTAGCTGCTTGCACAAACCGCTGCATATTTTATTATTTTTCATTGAATCATATTGGGTCATACTTGGGCCGGTAGATCTTTCGTTGGAATATATCAATAAATTAGTGTAATAATGTTAAAACTGTGGAATGGACGAAATTTTCTCTACCCTCCAAATTCTAAAAAATACACTCCGAACATCATATTGGCAAAATATTTTCCGATTCAAGGAATTGATTTAATTCGACTTCGGTATTGGAAAAACAATTGACCATCAAATTTGACAAGTGCTTCTGATCCTTTTAATGCTGCTTTAACTCACATTAGCTTATGTAAAAAAGTTTGTTACACGGACTCCCATATTCAGATATATTAACTATCAGAAGTTTAAAAATTCAATCCCGTATCCGAATTCTGTCACTGTCCGATTCAGAAATTCAACTTCACAGTGCTGATTAGTGCTAGCGTGGTTTTTTAATTCTTTAAAATTATCCTACCCTGCTCCATTAAAATTTGAAATAAATTGCAATTTATGATTTTTATGTGTAAAATAATCATTTCCCCTGCAATAATGTTCACAAATTATTTTTAATGAATATCTTCATTGTTGGTTTATCTTTATAAATAATTGTCAAGGTTCAACTCATTTTTATTGAAATTTATGTGCACTGCATTGAAATAAAGCTTCACACGACCGTTTCTATATTTTGTGCATTTCAAAAAAGTGTTGTAAAGGTCTTGTCAAAATAACATTTTGTAATGGTTTGCAATTAGATTTAATTTCGCGTACCGTCATCTCAACTTGTAAATTTATTCATGTAGATAATGAGACGTTTATCATGAATGAAACATAATTTTATCTATTTTTAACATAAATCCAACTCCGACGTACACATCTACTCGTCATTATTTTGTCCGATGTACGCCAGTGGCAATTGCCCATATCACAATCGCCTGGGTGCTTGACTAACTGAATAGTACCGAAACAGACCAAACCTAATACTTTTGTGGTCAATTTTATTTTATACAAATTTTTAAGATTTTTGTTTCAACCGCTTATTTAAGATGTTCTTCGTTTGCAAGAATAAAATTTTTTAAATTAAATCCTACAGAAAACGACCAAAAATAATGGACTGTCGATGACGCGCAATTTTGCATTATGGTAATATCATACAATACCCACCACTCGAAATGCCAAATAAAGCACTGGTGGTCAGCTGCGCATGTTACCTACTTGCTGCTTTTGTCTAAAACAGGGGTTCCAAAACTTTATTGGCTGCGGGCCTAAATTAGAATTGGAAGGATGTTCGCGAGCCGAAAGTGCGCAATGGTTTAGTTGGGGTTCTATAGATTCACTTTCATTTGACATTTTTTTGAAACATGTTTGTTTGCCTCATAATGACGCTAGGTGTCGTATTCCGTCAGAACTAGAATTGTTCGTTGCCAAAGAAGGCAAATCGCTGGAGTTTGATTCTTTTCATTTTAGAAATACGAACGCTGATACAGCGTCTGTTTTCAGCGTTTAGAAAAGTTTGCTATGTAATCCTAATACCGGTAGGTATAATTGAGATACCGGTATAATTGAATTATTACTATAAACACTTGCTTAAACTGTGATAATGACATGGCAACTCGCGGTATCTAGATAGCAAAAAGGTAGAAACAAAATCTGTTGAACACCGTTTCACTTGATCTCGGCGGACCATTCAAAATCGTTATGCGGACCAGGTTCGACCCGCGAGACGCGGTTTGGGAGCCCCTGGTTTAAAAAAATACAAGAACGGGTTTGATTTTATCACAACATTTCAGGAACGAGCGAATTCGCGGGTTCGCGCAAACCGGTGTGAACCTCCGGAATTAATTGGAAAAACGGGCAAAGTTTAGAAAATTATATCAAAATTAAAAAATCCACTAAGGCCCTTTTTTACGCCTTATCTGTGATGAACAATTTACGTCAAGGCCTAGTTTGTAAAAAGCATATGTTTCTGTACATGCATGATGAAAATCATTATGGAACCGAAGATTTTAAAGAATAGGCAACTAACAACACTATATCGTCTCTTCCAATACATTTTTCCTATTTCTAAAATTTCATCATAACTGCAATGTTGGCTTGGCTTATCAAGCAAATAGTTTTTTTCAAGCAAATAATGTTCAAACAAAAAAAAATTCCTCTTTCAAGCAATTTAGAATGTTCGACTCTCGTCGTCAACTTTTCTACGTTTGTCAGGCATTTTAATGTCAAATCCAGAGAATCATGTTAAACTAAGCTGATACCACTAACCGTAGGCAGCTTCGGAAAGTAAACGACATATAGGTCGCAGTTTGCCGACCACTGGTTTTAACGGATCGTTAAGAAGACATTTTTTATCATCCACTGTAAAATGTACATTTATGAAAACGGTTATATGTTATGTCACCAGGTGAGATTGACCATTGATTACTTGTTTCTCCCAAATTTAATTTCTGTACTGTGTTTGCTTGATATGGTCATTTTACCAGGACGGAGTTCAACACAAATTAGGTGTCTTTTTTTATCTATTTCAGGTAAGACCAAAATAAGATATGAGGGGGGTTTTTTAACATGAATTTGTAAGCTGCATAGCCAGTGGTTCCCAACCATTTTTTCGAGAGACCCAAATTTTTAGAAAATAAATAAATCTAATGACCCAGGAATATGCTCAAATACTAAATGGCAGTTTTTCATGGTCGCAAAATGACTAATATGAAATAATCAGTTTTACATAACATTTCTTTTCCCAGCAATTACCAGTTTGTTAAATTGTGGCGTTGTTTTACTTATAGCACAATCGATGCTGTTTTTACGCTGTAGTATTTTCCACATATACTATCCGACAGTAATTATTGAGCAACACTTCAATATCAACAATAAAATAAATATTCCTAAAAATAAAATCAGTAACTTCTGAGTTTTTATTCAAAAAGAAGCGACCCATGAGGATTTTCGGACGACCCAATTTTCGGACGCGACACATAGGTTGGGAATCACTGGCATAAATTTTTGTTGTAAAAGGTATCATGAACCAACAAGAATACACGATAATTTTTGATAACTGATAAATAAGTATAATTTGTCTTGGGCCAAAAAATTATAATAGGAAGTCAAATAGACCATCGTATCTGAAACATATAAATGGTTTCTGCCCGTTTTTTACTGGCCGTTTGTGGCGCCATCGTACCTCACTCACCGAAAGATGCACATGCCCAATTCTGGGTAAAGTATAAGTGTGAGAGTTGATTTTTCATTCTGCCCCATGTCCAACCTTCCCCTATATTAATACTTCCGTCGTTCCGTTTAGCTATAAATCTGATAAATGCCATAAAAATTCTTACATAATGGTCGCCAAACTTGCACAATTAATAATAAAATATTATATTCACTGTTGTTTTATATCCGCTTTGTCAACTCTTTGTCGAAAAAATGTCCAAACACTATTTTAGTCAAAAAAAAATTCAAGTTGTTTTACTACTAACTGTAACATATTTATTCAAACCAAGATTTTAGTCTATTCGATCAGATATATGTGCCCAAAATTTTCGATAGCATTGGATGTAAGTTCATAAATGGAAACAAGCAAAATAACCAGGACTTGATTCACTATAGGATTATTGATTAACTCAAGCTGAATTGGCCCACCGCCATATAGTAGCTTATGGGTCACTTATATAATGATGACCGTATATTTTCGCGTCACCCTAGTGGGAATATCAACCAAGTTGTGAAAGTCTTGGATCTAAAGCTCTCGGGTTCGAAACCTACGCTCGCTACTTAGCTAAGCATATAATGAAATGAGCAGTTTATATTCCATTCTTCTCAACAATGTTCAAGTTTCCTACACATCAATGGCTCTTTTTCAGGAACTTTCTGGAGAGATCAGGTTAACACTTAAACTACTAAACTTATCACTATAGTTTTCTAGAAAACAAATTACACAAAACATAATTTTTTTTGATTACAAATAAAACCAAAATAAAATAATAAATACCTTACTTTGAGATAACTCAACATCGAAATCCACGCCGAGGATTGCTAAAATTATTACAGCCTCAAATATCTATATTTCTAGAGAGCACAAAATTTACCTTAATAACCACTACAAACTACTAATACTTTGAATGACTAATTATTAAAAATGTAAATGCGTGCTATATTACACTTTATTTCTCATCAATCAGAAAAATGTCAATATGTCATTACTTCACATTGAAACACATTACACAAGGAATTAATAAATGAGTAACACCAAAAACTCAAACAAATTTTTGAGTCACGAGTGTAAAACAAAATATAGAAATTTACAGCGAAAATACCAACTAAAACTCTTGAGCAATGCTGAAAGTTATAACTTCTGGGTAAAACTGAACAGGTTGAGCAAAAGCATTTCTCAAAAGGTTTATTCAGAGTTTTCACAAAATTGTTGAAAAATTAAACATTAAACACAATTAATTAATGTGAAACCCCATCAAATTTATCTGAATCCTATCACCAACACCAAATCCAGGTCAATAATTCTTTTATAGTTATGTTTATGACATGCCAAGGATTAATAAAAATTTCAAGTTTATACATAAGCAAATAGTTTATATACAAAACATATTTCAAATTTGCGACCAGAAATGTTGTGAATAGACATTTGTATACACAATGGTATGCAGTTAACCCGTGCATTGATATATTTGCTGAAGCCATTATATTATAATCGTTTGATAAAGGTAATTCAGTAAGAATAAAAGTGGATATTGGATCAGATTTTATGCAATCATGATTCTTGTTTATTATTATTTCACTGTGAGAACTTTCAAATGAGAATACACAATTAAAAAATTTCAATATACAATGTCTCTCATTTAAAAATTTTCCAAATCCGTGGTTTCCACGACCACACGGATAAAAATTGTGTCTTCCTTCACATACGAGCTTCTATTTATAGTGTCGTGAGCAACGAACATGGGGCATCCACTGGCTATATTCATATCTGAAGTTGGTTTTTTAAAAGAACTTGACGTTGGGTCGGGTCGGAAAACATCGGACAAATGGCGACGATCGGGTCCCTGATCCAGGAGCATCAGCGTTACCTGAAAATACAGAATAAATTTGATATTTTAGATTGCATTATATAGTGTAATTAAGAACTTAGTGCTGTCTCTTTCACGCTTGGTTAATCATTATCGTAGATGTTTAATTGTAAGTACAGACTCATGATAAAGCATCGGGCATACAGAATAAATTGATATCTTTTATTGAATTAAATAAAGTGATATAGATATTTATGTATATTCTGTATTTGTAAGCCTAATTGTAATTAAAACCTTCTGTTCCCAAATTAAAACGTAGTAGCTTACAATAGGAATATGGCGCTAGGTATTATAATTATACAATTCATATTATATATTGAAATTATTTCCATGGTACGCATTGACATTTTTATACAAAATCATATAGGCTTGATATTATGGGACTTGGTGTTAGTTTTTTGATACGAGAGACCTCATGACGCTTCTTTCGAGCATTGATACAAGGTAAAAACACAAATTCACCGAAACTAGGCAATTTTACTTGACACTTGGCATTCTGTTTATTCTGTTTCAGTAAATCTAGAACGTTTTGCTTTAAATTGAAATGCGACTTTACGGTCCCATATTATATTTGTTGCTATACATACCTTCTGACGAAATGGAAATTGTAAAATCGCGTCGTATTCCCCCTTCATCAAAACGAAGAATAACGAGATGTGGGTGTTTTTTCCTAAAACAATAAAAATTCTCAGTTCAATAATTTATTCTGCAAGGATTATTTACACAGGTTTTGAGGTAAAAAGGCTGTGGGTTCAAATCCCGTTAATACGAGTCTGCGAGGTATTGAGTGAATATTTTTGATAAGAAATAGTGGTAATCCTATAGGAAAAGCTATTTTGTAGAGAAGTGAGCGACAGGTGTTTAAAAGTGACCAAAGTGTTGTTTATACCACGTTGGAATGGCATATCAGGCATCCCAGGTTTAAACTCACTATCTCACTCAGTGTGTAATAGCTTCGGTATGCAATGCCAAAACGAAAAGTCTAGGGGCTTTTAAATATGTAGTGGCACCTTATGTATCTGTGGAGCAGTTTTAAAATGCCGTATAGGAAAATTTGGATTTTTTAATGATACTTCGGAGTCAGTACTGTATTATAAATTGAAGCATTATAAAAGTAATGCATTTGGAGCATAGAGATGGATATTCATAATATATACTACGAAATACGAATGACAAAACATAGCCAAAATAAATTAGTAAAATAAAAATGATACAAACATCATGCACAAACGTACAAACGATAAAAAATGTTATATAAAACGAAATGATAATAAGAAAACATTTTTTCTTTCAAAATTTAGCCTATGTAAAGATGACAGCACTGTCATATTTCCAGTTTCTCTTCATTGATAGGATACCTATCAAATAATATGAGCCACTCCAGTGCCAATTCTGTTTTCTATCAAAGAGCTGTTTGATTCTTTATTCAATTTGTTCGGACTGAATAGCTAAGGTGTAGGGTTCATCATGCACCTTGGGCTTCAACGTTAGGACATATCGTCAAATCTTAGGTCATGATTTGAATTTTGTATACTATCCAATTGGCAACAGCTTTCAATTGATACTTAAAAATATTTAGACGATTTATCTCAGAGCTGGAACGTAGCAGATAGGTCGGGGCCACTTTCATTTGATAGTATAAGTCGTTTTTATAGACCAGGGGAGTGCAGCAAGACAGCCGGCAAACGGGGAAAGATTTCACGCGTCGGCAGGAGCAAAATAATTATTTATTTTTACCCATGTATGCGAATTTTAAAACATAAATTGTCGGATTATGACAATTCACAAGAGCTACAATGAATGACTTTACTGGCCGGGTTGTGGCCCACGAGCTGTCTGCTGCACATCTATGGTATAGACTCTCTTCTCTCTGCAAGTGCTATTTAGCCCGATCTTCAATCAAGATGTTGTCGATTCATTTATTTGTGTGGTTCGTCATAACATTGACAATTGACAGATGATTCGACTCACTTTCACTTGATATATCAAATATTTTAGATGGTTCTGGATTTCGCCTCACTATTCGTTAGTAACAGACAAATCGACGACTCCGTTTGCTATTGCAAACAGAATAACTCGGCCATGCGTCTTGCGTTGAGTCTTATCTAAATTGTTGCCTTCAGGTAAATTCACAGGCATAAGCAGCCATGTCCAATATTATTCAACAAAATAGTTGATGTGCGCTGTCCGATTGGTAGCTTTGATGCTTCAAAAGTTCTTGCAAAAATTACTTTGATATGTCAGTGAGACACCGAATCGAATCAATAATACTATCAGTGTCAACTGCAGAGACGTTTATTCGTGACGTAGCTCAATATCCATCCTTTTTCATATCGTTAATATGCAACATTCCACATGCCAAACAAGGATTCTTTCAATGTCGATTGCAAAACATCTTCATAAATATTCAGTTGAATTCAAGTAATATTTTCCATTGTATTGAGTTAAGTATCCAATATCCATTTTAGTGATGTATATAATCTCCATTATTTTTAGAGCTCAAAAAATTCTCTAATTCCTAGGTTATCTATTTGTAAACAATCTTCGATGTCATTATTTCGGCTAGATGCGGAATATTCTACTCTTTACCTGGGCAGAAGAAAAGGCAATAAATTATATTTAATCTTTGAAAATTTTGAACTTAGTTGGCTTATGTTAGATAATTCTTCTAGCGATTTGCTTTTTATCGGCTCCGGGTCATAATAAAAGAAGTATATCCATAAGATTCGTATAGTTTTGAAAATTTTTAAAATAGCGAAAAGGAATTTATCCATACCATAATTGTTTTGGATTCACATATGTATTAAATGAAATAAAAAAACTTGAACAATTACTGATTAAAATGCAACAAAGTTGGTTAAAATATTCTGAGAACTGACTCCATAACGAAATTGAAAGGGACTTCTTTTATAACACGTACTTATTTATTGTCATACAATTGAAATCCGTAGCAAAGATTAATCTGCTCGTTTCTCTTTAACCAGCTGCGCCTGCAAACAATAAAGAAAAATTAAGCACCCCACCAATTATGTGATACAGATAACAGTATGTATCACGTTCCAGCATGTTTCACATTTGATTGGTTTTCGATAAATAGTGCAAGAAAAAATAGCTTTTATTTTATGCAATACATGTAAAAAATTTCCCGAAGGCAGCTGCATACATGGCAACGCCTCAACACAACAGGTTTTCAGGATTATTTCATTCAAATCCTTTCTGCGAACCAGTATTCTCCCGAGCGCATGGGTTATTTTCAAATTCAGGGGGTGGTAGATATTTTTCTATTAGCGATAAAACTATTAAAAAAAACTTTTATGGCTATGCACTGGTATAAACGCCAACTTCTGCATATCTAATTGCATTTACATCTAAATTAATATTTAAACTGCAAACAAAAAATACTCACAAGGATAGTTCAGAAAATCTATAAGTCATGTTTATTATTGCACCCAAAACTTTGTGCTATAGCATTTATAATGGATTTTAAATAATTAATTTTTCACCAAGCATCAATTAGAACATACCTCTATACATTACTTACTCAGATTTCTTGGCAAGATTTTAAACAAGTAACCACATATGCACCAAAAAATACATAAGTCTTGAAGATACTGATCTCGGTGTCTTCTGTCAGTTATCATTTTCATTCTGAAGTCTGTTGAGAGCATAAATAAATTAAAACTCAAGAAATCCCCTAGCCCATAAATTTATGTTCCAACATATTTCACATCGGTATGGTTTTTATTTGCAATGGGCAGGAATAATTTACTCACGAATAAATTTATTTAGATAATACTTTATTGAACAGATTCATAATAATTACCGGTCTTGATGACTTCAGTTTAAATTCTTTTTCTAGTGAGAAGAGCAAGACTTGAAAAATTCATCAAAAATAATAATTGAAATATCGAGTGCATCTTCCATTTCGAACACGTCACAATTTCCTGATAAATTTTGACGTTTCTAAGAGTCTATGTTTCTGAACAAAGATAAGTATATAGGGCCCTATATTATTGCCTTGAAAATAATAGCCATAATTAGTCTAAAACGAAATACAAAAAAACTGCTTTATAGTATTTTTATATTAAACTTATTTTTTAATCATGTTTGAAATCACAACACATTTTTTTAATCAAAAAGGGAAGTAAAAACATTAAAGTGTGTTTATAAAGTCATGTTACAATCAAAATATTGGTATAAAGTCAGTTCACAATATATCTCAAGCAGGTTTGTTTCATTTTATTCATTGTTTATTCAAATTATACTTTTATTTTTTCCACGCCATACGTTACACCAGGGCTTCCCAAACTTTTGAGCTCGCGGCCCCTTTTAATATATTAAATTTTTTTGCGGCCCTTGTCCACGTTAAATAATGCCAAACAGTTCGAATTATGGATTTTTGATGTTTTGTTGGCACAGCTAATTCTCAACTTTAACATGTCTACTCATTAACAATTATTCAGTGTAATGGGTACGAATGCTTTTTTCTGCATAGCAAGGCTGTTTAGTTTATACAGGCCTAAATGATGAATTACGATGTCTGGCTACCGACGGCATGGTTCTTATCTCGAATTGTTCACTCTTATTGATCAAACTTAGCACAAGGCAGCATTTTGTGCGACGCCAATGTATCAGGGAAAAAACTTATGGCGCACCTACACAAAAAATATACTGCCTCGAAACAAAACACAATTTTGTCATCGTTAATATGTACTAAATGTCTTTTGAGGATTTTTATTATGTAGGCCCGAGGAATAAAGGCAAAAAACGTTTCTTTTTTTTTATCTGCCTGGTTTTTCTTTAAAATGCTAAAGAAATCACACAAGTTTGATGAAATTGGTTCAGCAAATGAATAAACTGCAGCCTATACGAAATTGCAACATGTAGGGTTTATCTCTTATATTACGTAACAATAGACCCTACGTACAGAAAGTAAACACATAGATCGGCAAATTGACTTTGATTCATTACACGTCATTTGAAAACAATAAAACATTTAGAATAAGTATTATGTGTAATAATTATGTTTCGAGGCGCTCTCAGCAAATCGTCTTCGGAAACCGCTCGCCTAATGATTAAAGCCGTCATTGTTATGCAAACCGCAAATAGGGTTTCACGATCAGAATATGCATTGTTATGCAAGCGCGATCATTCTACCGTGTTTCCCCGAATATAAGACCAAGCCTGAATTTTAAAAAAGATTTCAATATAAGCGCTCGCTTTTAAAAAAGACTTAGTCGATAAAGCCTTTTTTTTTGACTCAATATCGTGAAAGTGCGTCGTTTCAATTTTGCTAGGATGTCGCAAAATTTCGTGATTCGTGAACCTTTCAAACAACCCATATCTTCTACTTTCACTGGACAAAAGAAAGATTAAATCGATCTTACCTGTGATGTTGCTATAATAGAAAAGTTTAATTCTGAAAATTCGGTTTTCTGTACATAAAAATTATTTGTCCTTCAAAAAGCGTTGTGCACTCCCATCTTCTTTGAGATTTATTATTTATATGAAGCAGGCTTTTCTACCAAGGCCCATTAATTGCGATTTCACTGACTGTCGTTAAGTTTTGTTTATTCGTTTATATGAAACTCATTGCGAGAAAGGTCTTTTAAGAGGTATCAATACGTATTTTCACGGGTCGCAACTTGAGCATATTTTTGAAGGGCGTCACAATACGATGATGTTCGAGAACTACTGCGTCCCAGTCGATAGCAAGAAATATTTTGTACTTTTTTTAAATGGTTAATAGTCTATAGGTAGCAGTTATTTTAAATAAAAACGTGGTATTTATAAGTAAACGGAAATCAGTATTCATATTTTGTATAATAAAAAATCTCATTATTCTCTATTCCAAAAATAAGCCCTATAGTGTTATTTTCGCAAAGAAAATTGAAGACAGTGTCTTATTTTTGGGAAAACACGGTATTATGATGATGTATTCACTCGGAATCTTGAAATCTTTGTTTTACATTATTTGTATAATAATCGTATTTCGAATCGGAAGTCTGAAAAAAGTACAATATATATGGTACTTTGTGTAAAATTGGTGTTCTCTTTGCGGCCCCTAAAATTCGTTTCGCGGCCCCTTCCAGGGTCGCGACCCCTAGTTTGGGAAGCCCTGCGTTACACGATGAAGATCAAAAATTGTATACCTAATTTAATGCAGGACCTATGTATTACTACGAACCTTATTAATATTCGGATTTGATTCCCATGGGCACATACAGCACTATTCATTCTCCTTTCGCCACGCCACACCTTCAACTTCAAGAAAATTAACGACCCGGACCATTGCTGAAAAAACGTTGCAGGAACTCGTCCCTTAACGTTATACTCCGTTGCTTTTATAAGGTAAATTGAAACGTTTAAACTTCATACACTTGAGTGCGCATCAGCCATTCATGGCAATCAAACACCTGCAATATATAAATTCACGGACTAAAGATATGAAAATTGTAGGAATAACAACATATGGGCTAGAATGATATTATGCTTTTAAGTATAGCTATCTTATAATTTTGGCAACAGATTTCAGATAATATATATATATTATTGCATTACAGTAGTCGTTAGAGAAAGCCTAGTCGTTGATATATTTAATAGGAACAGGATAGGATTTGCATATTTAGTCTGGGCAAAGTAAAGCCGCTAAACGGGCTTAAATATATGACAAACCGCGGTCTCTCGTGCGGTTACAATATCATATCAAAATCAATTTGTTGGCTTAAGTTTATTTATTCTACTCTGAAGACCATGGCAAAAAAATGACCTTAAAAAAGAATAAAATTTATTTCTGTTATACACAAACCATGGTATCCCTAATAGAAGGAAAAACGTTAAAATGGCCCGTAAGCTGGTGGTGGGTGCTACACGTTTGAATCATATTATTAGGACTGATTTCAACATACTATGTTTATCGGAACATCAATAATGTCATCCAAATTGTGAATCCCTCTATTCAATTCATTCTTCCGATTCCATAATTTATAACTGTACTGTGTCTTCATCTCGAAATTATTGAGTTGAATTGCGCTCGTCATTTCTTCATTTTGTCATTTTGATTCTGAAATATGTATAAACCTTGATAAAAAATAATGTACGTTTACTTAGGGAATTATAAAACTATTTTTTTACTTCGAAATTCAATTTTTGCTAATGCATAGTATATTTTCTAATGTGTGTCATATCTGAACGGTTTTTTAATGGGATCAACAGGAAAATATACGTTCACAAATTGCAACCGAAAATTGTTAAATTACTATTTTTGACGTATTACATCTCCGCTTCTTACAAGGTCAAGTAGTCATTCACTATTAGACGCATAACGGAAGATTAACAAAATTTTGTTATCTTTCATTCACCAAATCGATGTTCAAACGTTTTGATGTCTCAGTCCTTTACTAAGAACACAAAGAACGCCATACAACGAAGTAATTTTTTGTTCAGTCAGTTCGTTCAGTCAAAAAACATAGTAGGACTAGTAGGTACTTACTTGCTCGTCAAAAGTTGCCCTTATTGAGTTATTGCTAGCGACTCGAACATAATAACTCTGCTCAAATAGTGAATATTTTATCCAAATTGTAAACACCTTCAAACTACTTTGGCTTCACATGCGGTTTTAACAATTTCAATTTGCTAAGAAGACCTTCCTCTCTAAAACCTATAAAAATTAATTAGCATAAGTTTAAAAGTTACAAAATCCTTGTAAAACTACAAACTAAACATAGAAATAATGTGAGTCGAATATATATCGAAGAGAGAAAATAGTTACTTAGAAGCGGCATTCATATAACATTATTGAACCGCCTCGTACAGACTTACTCTATTTTTGTGAAAACAAAATATCATCTTCCTATCAAAACAAATAAAGGATCCACCAATCCTCCCTCGTCCATTTTTACACAAATTTTCAGTTTGGCAAAAAATTACTGTTATGCGAATTCAAATGCAAGTCATTTAGATTCGTTTATAAGTCTTCCTCCATCTGACACGATAAATGCTTCGAAATAAGAAAAAAGTTGGCGCTCGATATGTATATACTAATACGGAGATAATTAATATTGTTCGCCTATTTTACATCAAGTTGTGTAAAGGGACAGAAACCTATGGGCAGAAGAATATTCACTTGGCTAACAAAGACAGTCTCGTACTTCTAATAGAACTAAAAAAAGAAAATCGGAATGAAATTTCGGCCTAACCATCACCTGGTACACATACTACAGGAGTACCAAAAAGTTTTTTTGCATAGTCTTTTTAAAAATTTATTTTTTAGTTAAGGTTGATTTTTCAGTAGGTATGAATGTAGTTGTTCTAAATTTATTAAATCAATTTGGAGTCAGAAAATAAATATCATTTGGTATTCAAAATTCATTACTCGCAAGATCGAGATTTATTTATTTATTTGCATTTTATTAACTTACATAAGCTCACTTATAAACAATTAGACTTACCACAGGGCTAACTTAAATGTTTAAATATTTTTGGAAAGCTTTTACAATTATCATCAAACCGTCCAGAAATACGGTTCTGAAGTTGTATGTGATCGTTCATCATCATTTGCTGAGTGATACTGATAAGGCTGATGGCTTGGCAACAAAATATTAAATAGTTGAGCTGTTTGACTGTGACGTCAAGAAATTTTTTATACCAATCTCTCATTGTTCTGAAAATTTATTAGATAATAGATATAAATTTTTGCTGTATTGGATGAATAAATATTTAGGATAAATAAGAAGGCGGTTTAAAATAAAATGCGAAGTCAACTCAAGCGATAGTTCGTGGAACAGAGTTGTTCGTTTTTACAGAGTCTACTTTATATAAATAATTTCATGGCTGAATAAATGATTGAAAAAAAATGTTTACCACAAAATTAATAGGGGTGACAAAAAAGTCTTCTGTTTCCTAAAAGTTCATTGACACCCACCAATTGCGCGAATTTATTGTTCGGTCAAGTTGGAAATCTGTACTTTTTCGCGTTTTTCCTCTATATTCATTGTATGTAGTATTGAACGTAAATTTTATTTTACATCAGTCGAAGTTTTCTCAATAAATTTTGACTTTTTAAGAATTGGTTGAACTGCAAAAAATAACAAAACAGTAACATATCATTATCTAGATTAGAAATAGGTACGTTTATATGCTTAGGATCAATTAGAAAATGTATTTGAAGTATGATAAAAAATTGAATAAAAAGACCTGTCAAATAGAGATTGGATGATTGCTTATTAGCATAAAAAATACCAATTCTAAAATCAATAAATCAATCAATAAATGTTATATAATTGACTGAAAGCCTAACAGAAATAGCATGTTGCATGCAAAGTTACCGGAAGCTTTGGGTGCTAGTTGAGTCCAAATTGAAATACGTACCCCAGTGAATTGCGTGAGGTCATTATATTTTCATGTGTACGCCTTTCTTCTTTTGTAGAGTCAAGTTCATCTTTTGTTTTGCTAAGTTGATATAATTCGTCGTTTTTGGTGCTGGTTAAACTGCGAAAAGGAAAAGTTAGTAAGTTACACGGCATATATCAGTAGACCACTATTGCAATAATTTGGGACAGATTTCTATGGCACATGCAAAACAAAAAGTCGACATAAAAGTAGGTATATAAAAGCATGGAAATTGTTATGTTCCAGAGTTTGTTATATCATTTAGTGGCCTGTGGAGAAGAAGCTTCCAATACATCGCACATAGTCTGTCTCGGAACACTAAACAAAAGAATCGCTCGAGCTTATCTAAAATCCATGAATCAAATAACGATACGTTAGGGTTAGATCTTAAATTTTGATAGGATCGATTAAATTTTACTTATCAGACTGAAAAAATTTCCTTATTTAATGCAATTTTCTTGCACGACATACCTGAAGGAATGAAATATTCTTATCTTATGAAGTCCATTTGTTAGGTTAGATTTAACTGTAATAGCATAGGTTTGTCTTACTTATTACTTTATTCACGGTTTTTCGTTCAACACATGATGTTCTAATGGGGGCAACGACTATTATGAAATTTCTTTAGGTTACTCTGACACCAAGCGCAGCTGCAATCGCTTTCCAGATAGATATTAGATTTTTGGAAGTCCGAGAGCTGAAAATAAAAAAATTGTTATCGCTTGTTTTTATGCTCGTTTATATAATTAATGCGTCAAATCATCAATAAACAGAGAACACATTTCTGAATTTACTAGAGGCAACAAAATAAACCTTTTCTAGTAAAAAAAAACATCTTATCCTCGCCTGCTGTTCCGAACAACGCCTGTACAACCAGTCACTGATATCTAACAATATGTATGGGGTTAATAACTCAAAAGGAATCAAAATAAAATAATGACTCCACACATATATATTTAATAATAGTAAAAAATTATTATTTAGCGCACTTAATGTGCGACTACAACAGTGTTTCCCAACCCGAGTCCGCGGTCTCAAATGAGTCCGCGGAGCGTTTGAATGAGTCCGCAACGAGCCAAGGCTTGGCATATATTCGAATATTCAATTATTAGAATAGCAATTTATTATTTGAAAATTCGGTAACAAGTGACGCGACAGGTCACTTGCGCGTCGTTTAATCAAAGGATTGAGTTTAGTCGTTGTTGTTCGAGGAATAATTTTTCTGGTAGGTGTCAATGGTGGCAACCTAAATTTTCTAAATTGAAAAGCGGCAATACAAAATATTTAGTTCGCGACAAGTTTAGACTAAATTATATCATAACCTAACAAGTATATGATTCACGATTACACGTTGAATGAGTCTATAATTTAACTGTAATTAGGCATTCAATGCCAACAAAACGCAGAAAAGTTGAACGCTAAGTGCAATTGATTCAATATTCAAATGGTCAATCTTCTTATTTATTAACTTCTGCTCTGTATGAAAAAATGTGATTCATTGGGCATACGCACGTCTTTTAACTTTCTAAAAAAAATGTTTACCACAAAATTAATAGGGGTGACAAAAAAGTCTTCTGTTTCCTAAAAGTTCATTGACACCCACCAATTGCGCGAATTTATTGTTCGGTCAAGTTGGAAATCTGTACTTTTTCGCGTTTTTCCTCTATATTCATTGTATGTAGTATTGAACGTAAATTTTATTTTACATCAGTCGAAGTTTTCTCAATAAATTTTGACTTTTTAAGAATTGGTTGAACTGCAAAAAATAACAAAACAGTAACATATCATTATCTAGATTAGAAATAGGTACGTTTATATGCTTAGGATCAATTAGAAAATGTATTTGAAGTATGATAAAAAATTGAATAAAAAGACCTGTCAAATAGAGATTGGATGATTGCTTATTAGCATAAAAAATACCAATTCTAAAATCAATAAATCAATCAATAAATGTTATATAATTGACTGAAAGCCTAACAGAAATAGCATGTTGCAAGCAAAGTTACCGGAAGCTTTGGGTGCTAGTTGAGTCCAAATTGAAATACGTACCCCAGTGAATTGCGTGAGGTCATTATATTTTCATGTGTACGCCTTTCTTCTTTTGTAGAGTCAAGTTCATCTTTTGTTTTGCTAAGTTGATATAATTCGTCGTTTTTGGTGCTGGTTAAACTGCGAAAAGGAAAAGTTAGTAAGTTACACGGCATATATCAGTAGACCACTATTGCAATAATTTGGGACAGATTTCTATGGCACATGCAAAACAAAAAGTCGACATAAAAGTAGGTATATAAAAGCATGGAAATTGTTATGTTCCAGAGTTTGTTATATCATTTAGTGGCCTGTGGAGAAGAAGCTTCCAATACATCGCACATAGTCTGTCTCGGAACACTAAACAAAAGAATCGCTCGAGCTTATCTAAAATCCATGAATCAAATAACGATACGTTAGGGTTAGATCTTAAATTTTGATAGGATCGATTAAATTTTACTTATCAGACTGAAAAAATTTCCTTATTCAATGCAATTTTCTTGCACGACATACCTGAAGGAATGAAATATTCTTATCTTATGAAGTCCATTTGTTAGGTTAGATTTAACTGTAATAGCATAGGTTTGTCTTACTTATTACTTTATTGACGGTTTTTCGTTCAACACATGATGTTCTAATGGGGGCAACGACTATTATGAAATTTCTTTAGGTTACTCTGACACCAAGCGCAGCTGCAATCGCTTTCCAGATAGATATTAGATTTTTGGAAGTCCGAGAGCTGAAAATAAAAAAATTGTTATCGCTTGTTTTTATGCTCGTTTATATAATTAATGCGTCAAATCATCAATAAACAGAGAACACATTTCTGAATTTACTAGAGGCAACAAAATAAACCTTTTCTAGTAAAAAAAAACATCTTATCCTCGCCTGCTGTTCCGAACAACGCCTGTACAACCAGTCACTGATATCTAACAATATGTATGGGGTTAATAACTCAAAAGGAATCAAAATAAAATAATGACTCCACACATATATATTTAATAATAGTAAAAAATTATTATTTAGCGCACTTAATGTGCGACTACAACAGTGTTTCCCAACCCGAGTCCGCGGTCTCAAATGAGTCCGCGGAGCGTTTGAATGAGTCCGCAACGAGCCAAGGCTTGGCATATATTCGAATATTCAATTATTAGAATAGCAATTTATTATTTGAAAATTCGGTAACAAGTGACGCGACAGGTCACTTGCGCGTCGTTTAATCAAAGGATTGAATTTAGTCGTTGTTGTTCGAGGAATAATTTTTCTGGTAGGTGTCAATGGTGGCAACCTAAATTTTCTAAATTGAAAAGCGGCAATACAAAATATTTAGTTCGCGACAAGTTTAGACTAAATTATATCATAACCTAACAAGTATATGATTCACGATTACACGTTGAATGAGTCTATAATTTAACTGTAATTAGGCATTCAATGCCAACAAAACGCAGAAAAGTTGAACGCTAAGTGCAATTGATTCAATATTCAAATGGTCAATCTTCTTATTTATTAACTTCTGCTCTGTATGAAAAAATGTGATTCATTGGGCATACGCACGTCTTTTAACTTTCTAAAAATATGCGCGGCCCACCAATGACTTGCAACCTTCAATTTTGGCCTGCGAGCGACAAAATGTTGCCGATTCCTGGCTTTACTGTTGTACGAACAGCTAGCTCATATTTGTCGAATTCACAAAAATACGAATCGCAGAATAAAATGATCACAATTAAATTAATATTAAAGCAAGGCGATGAATATTTTTTAATTTTATTTACTAATATACTAATTATATTTTTAATAAGTACTAAATCAAATCAAGTCTGTCTCGGAACACTAAACAAAAGAATCGCTCGAGCTTATCTAAAATCCGTGAATCAAATAACGATACGTTAGGGTCAGATGTTAAATTTTAATAGGATCGATTAAATTTTACTTATCAGACTGAAAAAATTTCCTTATTCAATGCAATTTTCTTGCACGACATACCTGAAGGAATGAGATATTCTTATCCTATGAAGTCCATTTGTTAGGTTAGATTTAACTGTAATAGCATAGGTTTGTCTTACTTATTACTTTATTGACGGTTTTTCGTTCACCACATGATGTTCTAATGGGGGCAACGACTATTATGAAATTTCTTTAGGTTACTCTGACACCAAGCGCAGCTGCAATCGCTTTCCAGATAGATATTAGATTCTTGGAAGTCCGAGAGCTAAAAACAAAATAAATTGTTATCGCTTGTTTTTATGCAGGTTTATATAATTAATGCGTCAAATCATCAATAAACAGAGAACACATTTCTGAATTTACTAGAGGCAACAAAATAAACCTTTTCTAGTAAAAAAAACATCTTATCCTCGCCTGCTGTTCCGAACAACGCCTGTACAACCAGTCACTGATATCTAACAATATGTATGGGGTTAATAACTCAAAAGGAATCAAAATAAAATAATGACTCCACACATATATATTTAATAATAGTAAAAAATTATTATTTAGCGCACTTAATGTGCGACTACAACAGTGTTTCCACACCCGAGTCCGTGGTCTCAAATGAGTCCGCGGAGCGTTTGAATGAGTCCGCAACGAGCCAAGGCTTGGCATATATTCGAATATTCAATTATTAGAATAGCAATTTATTATTTGAAAATTCGGTAACAAGTGACGCGACAGGTCACTTGCGCGTCGTTTAATCAAACGATTGAATTTAGTCGTTGTTGTTCGAGGAATAATTTTTCTGGTAGGTGTCAATGGTGGCAACCCAAATTTTCTAAATTGAAAAGCGGCAATACAAAATATTTAGTTCGCGACAAGTTCAGACTAAATTATATCATAACCTAACAAGTATATGATTCGCGATTACACGTTGAATGAGTCTATAATTTAATTGTAATTAGGCATTCAATGCCAACAAAACGCAGAAAAGTTGAACGCTAAGTGCAATTGATTCAATATTCAAATGGTCAATCTTCTTATTTATTAACTTCTGCTCTGTATGAAAAAATGTGATTCATTGGCCATACGCACGGGTTTTAACTTTCTAAAAATATGCGCGGTCCACCAATGACTTGCTACCTTCAATTTTGGCCTGCGAGCGACAAAATGTTGCCGATTCCTGGCTTTACTGTTGTACGAACAGCTAGCTCGTTTTTGTCGAATTCACAAAAATACGAATCGCAGAATAAAATGATCACAATTAAATTAATATTAAAGCAAGGCGATGAATATTTTTTATTTTTATTTACTAATATACTAATTATATTTTTAATAAGTACTAAATCAAGTTGTACGTTCTAGGAATTTATAGCAGATAGTAGGATTTTTCTAACGGCGATAACAAATTCGCAAGATCGCAAATAATTTAAATCAAAACTAAATATAACCGGCCAATATATTCTCACATTATTATGTTCGCAGATGGCCGTGGCATTTAAAAGAAGTAATGCTTTCATCTAGTCATAAGTCAACGCAACCGCGAGTGATCATGAACACAATTAAATTAAAATGGGAAATCATTTTAAATTCTTGTCGTTGTCAAGGATTGAATATTGTGCGACAGAAAAAGCCATTTAACGAAGGCGTAATTGCGTAGCATTTCCGATTTTGAAATTCGGATAAAAAATTCTATTGTGTTTGGTTTTATTACTTCTTCACACAGAGTACGATTGCAAAAAACTCAGTTTGAGTCCGCAAAGATTTTCCCAGTGAGAAAATAGTCCGCGACCAAAAAAGGTTAGGGAACGCTGGGCTACGGTATAACTTTTCGCAATCACACGATTCATGCTATTACTAACCGACAATGGGCTCTCGGATATTACTTTTATTCTAATGATTTTTGTTCTTGAACAAAAACAATAAAGCAATATTACCTGTACTCATAATCCAGTATACCTCTTATGTTGCATTTTCGATTGTCAACATATTTCGATTCCGTTCTGAATTTATGATTTTCATTGCACTTCGCGGGTCTGTAAAAACAATTTAGATTTGTTAAGAAGACATTATTCCTGCCCATTCTGTTACAGGATTTGTTCGCGTTCACACAGATTGGGTGCAATGTTGTAGTGATAAAATATTTTTAGAGCTATGGGATTTAAAACTCAGCTTAGTTGCTTGAATAATCAAAAATCATTCCCAACCAATAAAAAGTGTTATATGCAGCGCTCATTCGAGTCTCTCACTAATAACATAAAAAGCTCCATAAAATAGGCACTGTTATCTAACTATATGTAGGGGGCGTATATGTACTAATTTGGGCGGAATCAAAATGAAATAATGATTTCACACATATATATTTTATTATAGTGAAAAATTATCATTTTGCGCTCTTAATGTGCGGCTTCAGAGGATGTTTAGAGACACACGGTTCATGCTATTACCAATCCATAATGGTCCCTAATGGCTATTACCTTTATTCTAATGGCTTATGTCCTTTAACAAAAAAGGGTCAAGCATTCTCATCTATACTTCGAATTTAAGATACCTCATGGGTTGTATTTTTTTCATTATCTATCATTGATTTTTTCTTTTTTATAATTTCATTAAGAGTCAAGAATATTTTGATCTTGTTCTGATTTAAAGCTTTGATTTTTCGGGTCTTTAAAACAAGTTGTATTTGTTAAAAAGCAGTATTCCTTTCCAATCTATAAAATCTTTTCCCCTGCACTAAGAGTTGGTGCAATGTCATAGTGATAAAAGTATTTTCAGAGTTTTGAGAATTAGAACTCAAACTCAGAGTCAGAGTAGTTGACTGAATAAGCAAAAACTCTCCGCAAACAACAATATGTATTATACGGCTTTTTTTCGCGCTTTTCATTAAGAATAACGCCCTGTAAAAATATTTACTGATGAATAACTATGTAGGGGGCTAATAATTTGAGAGGAATCAATATAAATTATAACTTCCCATATATATCTCATATTATATTGTAAAAGATTATTATTTTACCAACCTCGTGTGCTGTTTAGAGTCGCGCAATTCATGAGATTACGAACCGACTTTTTGACTTTTATTTTAATTTTCATTTCTTGAACAAAAAATGTCAAGCGTCCTTACCTATAATTAGAAGTTTTGATACGCCTTAGTTCGTATTTCTTTAATTATCCATCTTTGTTGGTTATCAAAAGACAAGTTATTTCGATCCTGTATTAAATTAATGACTTTTTAATATCGTTTTCGGTTGTTAAAACAAATTTAAATAAAAAAAAAGCCGTATGTACAAGTACATGAGGAGTTGGTGGCATGTCATAGTGATAATGGTATTTTAAAAGCAAAAACCTTCCTCAAAAAATGGAAAGTGAAAGTATTTTACGACGCTTATTTTTGTTTTTCCATGCGAGCAAGGCTATGTGCAAAGCAGTCACTGATATATAATGGTATCTAAGGAACTACTATTATTTTAGAAAGTCTGAAGTAAGTTTTGAGTATTAGAAGTTCCTTTAGCCTTGAATAAAAAATTGTATTCGTAAAAGTATATGAAATTAATTTGGAATTCAATGTCTTGCAATATTCGACGGTATTTATGCCTATCGATTTTATTACGACACAAAAAGCAAGGAACAAAATCATATTTCCACTAACCTGCTGATATTGGCGATCATACCTTATTATATCTTCGATAAAATTGCAACAAGAATTTAACTCCTTTTATTTGTCACATCGCAGCTCCAGGTTGAACCATCGCAAAAATGTTGCGTAAAACTCGCCAATAATGTTATATAGAGACATAATCAAAAAAATAAAAATAAACAATAAAAAACGTAAATTGTACTCACTGTATTTGAGACATAAATAGTTAAGTGCATGCACTTTTTTTTCTAAAAAACAACAAGAATAACGGCTAAAAGTTACATACATGCGACTAAATAATAGCGAGTCATACTCACCATAATTGCAAAAGATGAAAACACGATTTTTGAAAAGTAATAGTTAAATAAAAATACAATGACTGGTGTATATAATTACACCAAAATTACTAAATAAAATAATTTTGAAAATAAACGAACAAAATAAAAAATACATATATATTTACATACAGAAACGACAAAACAGTTACAGTGATACAAATAAACATACAAATTCACAAACAAGTTAAGAAAAAAGGTATTGAAATGGACTAAAAAGCACATAAATGGTGCCATACTTACTTTACACATAATCTCTATATGCAAATTAATCTTTTAATATGCAAATTAAACTCACCCATCCCATCTCCGTTTAAATATACTCTCAAGCACATTTTATATCCGTATCTTGATGTATAAAACGGTTGGCTGTATATCGAAAGAGCTCGACCTCGTTTGGCATCTTCTCGCCTTCGGTCAAAGTCACGAATCTTCCACACTAGTTTACCGTCGTAATTTGTAGTCTCTAGGACCTTAAATATAAACAAAAATTGAATTTAAGTTATGCTTAAAATATTTGAAATTCAAATTTAAAAGAAAGATAATCGAAATCAGTACGCAATTTGGACGATTGGCTCGATAACTATAAAGTAAATGACTATTTTGTTCTTTCCGCTAGGTGGCATTAATGTACTGTGAATTACGCGTTGTCAAAGAGCAATCTGATACACAGATTTTCCTATTCAAAAGTGGTTTAAAAATGCAAATTTTTAGCCAGTTACAAAGCACAAAAAAAAAAACATTCTTATTTAAAATTAGACTGTCAAATTGTTTACTTTTATTTCACAGGAATGAACTTTGAGCTACTCACGGAAAAATTGAAAATTATGTATTCATTAAAGAATGAACTATGTTGTGTAAAAAAAATCCCAAATATATAAAATAATTCTGATAAATTTAATAGTCTTGATGCAGACTAGCACAAATGTAAATGAAATACATTTGTGTTATTGTACAGCAAGACTCTTAAATTAAATAAAACAATCATCTTTATTCTTACTAAAGCATCCTTACATAGGGCATAGGGATTTACCAGAGCAAATTCAAAGAGCTAGGAAAATAGTAAAGTAGCATCTAAAATAATTTCAAAACTTTTTCCACCGGCGCATTTATTTTCGTATTGTCGTAGTGTGTTTACCAGGTTTGGGTTAGACCAAAATTTTATTCCGAATTTCCTTACTTTAGTTCTATTATGAGTTCGGGGACTATCTGTGTTAGCCAAGTGAATATACCCCCTGCCCATGGGTTTCAGTTCCTTTACACAACTTTATGTAAAATAGACGAACAAAACTAGATACAACCATATTTGTACACACACTTCTGGAGTACCTTCAGTTTTTTATTTCAACTTACCTGGAATCGTAAGTCCATTTCTGCGAGCTTAACATCATAGGTTCCTAATTGCCGCTCTAATGCTTCAAACATTTCGTTTAAGTTATCTAAAAATAATAATTAATTATTATAATTCGTTCTTCTTCAAGGTTTCAATAATTTTCCACAAAAACGAATAATATGTATCGTTATAATTGCTTATGAATATGGATACTTTTATTTTTCGTCATTTTTTTACATATACAGAGTGTCTATAAAGTCCCATCAAAATTTCAAATTTTGATATGTGGTCAGTTCTCAATATATCCTAACCAGGTTTGTTACTTTCTAATCAGTAATTGTTCAAGTATTTTTACCTCATTTAATACATCTGTGAGGGCCAAAACAATATATGGTATCGATAAAGTTCTTTTGCAATTTTCAAAAACTTAAAAACTTTATTGACGCCCTATATATATATATAAATAGTTGCCAATATTTAGTATAAGCTCATCGACACTTATTAGACACGAAGTCCATATAAGGGTCATTTTGCCGATTCGTTGTTGTTGCTTTCCTGCGACTAATGGGTATATCGATTCCAGATTTCCAGTACCTAAAGATGCGATAAGTTACTAGAAGTCTGTTACTTTTTTTTTTTTTCGAATTTTTCCTTTGTGATATTGAGGTCCGATATTTCACCAAACAATTTTGATGTTTCATTTTGATGGGAGCGTATTATCATATTTATCCCGGCTTGGGGTCCAGTCAATATAAGACGGCTCAATAATATGACGAATCATTCATGGCCCCTCGTCCGATTATCTATCCATTATGGGTGTAGGCATAATTAACCAGTTATTTGTTTCGAATTCAATTGCTTGTTCGAAGCGTAACGCGTTTTTATAACGCACTTTTTGTCTACCTTTTTCTACAAACTTTGTGCTCCGAAACCAAGTTGTATAGTAATCGAAAACCATGACTAGTTACTAGAAATTTGAGTACTGCTTGCCTGGCAAACTTATAGTGGCTGAGGAATGCCGATTTTTCTCCGATCTTTTCATAAAACTTAGTGTTATCATACTTTACATACCTTAACGATTGTCTAAACATGCGAGCATCGCACTCTTCCTTACCCGGCAAACTGATATTCGCACTTCCACTTCCACCACCTCCAGAACGTCTAAGTTCTTCCACTTGTCTCATCAAATTCTCCATGGTTGTTTTCACTGCAGCAAGATCTACTCCCAATACCTCAATTAGAGCATGAGTTGTAGCATTCTTATCCGTAGTTTCTTTTTGTAATTTCTTATTTGTGTCGGCTTGTACAGCAACTATTTTCTGATCATAAAGAAAGGCATATATGTGAAAAAGGAAATTGCAAAGTACATCAAGAATCCGAGGTTTGAAATTCGAGGTTTTATCTTACTCGTGATTACAACCATTCAAAAACTGAAATTTTACCCATGCTAGAAATAAACTTTGCTTGATAAACTAATGCTTTAAAATATTTCTGGTTCAGATTAGAAAGTTTACCTTTTTACGAACTTAACATTGGATCTATTGGCGTCGAATATTACACTTATCGAATTAATCAACCCTCGGCATCTATAAAATTGGGTGAAACGAATTAGATATGCAGAACCAGAAGTGTATATTCTAAACCTGATAACTATTTTCATATCAAGGGTTTGGATTTTCATTCTTTCTCTATTAAGTATTTTATTTTTAAAACCTTCAATTCTCTACAATGAATGTGTCAAAGAAGAAAACAAACAAGTGTGTTTCAATGCATAAATACACAAAGTTGTTTGTTTTTCTTGTGTTTCTGTAAGTCTAAATTATACAGGGTGTCTATGAAGTTCATTTACAATTTCAATTTTATTATGAAGTCAGTTCTCAATAAAACTTAACCAGGTTTGTTGTTTTTTATTCAGTAATTAATTGTAAGTATTTTTACCTAATTTAATTCATCTGTGAGGGCCAAAACAATATATTATGGCAACGGTTCCTAAACTATGGGTCGCGACCCACTGGTGGGTCGCAAGAGGAATCTCAGTGGGTTGTGAAAAGACGTGGAAAGCTTTGATCAATTATACTGGTTATTAGGATCGGTGGCAAAGCAAATTTAAAAGCAAATTTCGAACTAAACTGCAACTTTTCAATTTTTTACGTCTGAAACTATCTGAAATTGAAATAAATGTCCAATCTATTATGGAAAATAGCAAGAAACAATCTTATCTTTCTCACTAGTTTCACTAAAAATTCAATTTGAGTAATTAAATTTGTTTCCTCCATCAATGTTTTATTAATTTATCAAAGTTAAATGGGTCGCCATAAGCTGTGGTAAAAAATAGTGGGTCCCAACTCTAAAAAGTTTGGGAACCACTGTATTAAGGTATATCGATAAATTCCATTTGCAAATTTAAAATGTTTTAGGACTTTATGAACACCCTTAACATTAAATCATATCTTGAGTCTTGCCTGTAAATTAGCAAGTCTTGTCTCCATAGCTTTAGCTTGGTTCTTTGATAGATTGAGGGTCTGTGCGAACGACACCGTGTTCGTCTTTTCCAATGTCTGGTTGTTCTGGAGTTCTTTCAGCCATCTTTGAAGTTGCATCATTTGTAATAGGATTTGATTCTCAAAATAAAATCACATGAGGATAAAGGTTATTCTCGTATAACCTTAGTAGCTTGGTTATATAACGAAAAACGGAATTTATATTTTAAATTTATTCCTGGGAAAAAATAGAAAGCAAAACAGCATTAAAAAATTACACAGCCATTCTTATTTCAATTTTTTCTATTTAGCATCAGTACCAGAGACTTGTCCGCCTGTTTTGTTCGAACAAACCTGATGGTTATATTATTTTCACATTATCTCTCAAGTCCTATGAGGCTCGATATAGTACCATAGGAAATATATCGCATATTGCGTCACCATGTGGAAGTATCCAAAAATAGCCTGTTAATTTTCAACAGGTCAGGTGCTTAGCTTAAGCCATACTGATATGATGGTATCTATGTGAAATGCGGCGGTGGTGTAAACATAGTCTCATAGGCACTAGGCAGATACTTAGTTTTTCATGCTTATGTTTACCATTTGCTCTCAAGTGGGACAAAAACAAATATACATTCGGATTGTTCTGTCAAATTATTTTTGTTATTTATAACACAATAAAAGTGTAATTCTCACCTTGAATTGGTCCAATTCTGCAATACCTACGGAACTGAAAGTTCCCGTTGAAGATGGTGATAACCCGGGCATAGAAGAAACATAACTTGGGCCTGGTTCATTCGACTGAAAAATCTTAAACCGTTTAGTAAAAGAAAAGGAAGGGGGTGGGAATAACAAAAAATGAATGGACTGGAGACAATATAGAATGAAGGATTGTGTATAGTCCACCGGTTCTCAGCCAGTGGGCAGTGGCCTACTGCTGAGCCACGGAGACATTTTTGGGAGGGCCACTAACATATTAAATGACAATTACAAAGTTATTGAAAAGTTATTGATGACTTAGTTAAACTTTGATTGTAGTAGCAATGAATGATAATGATTTACTAAATGGAAATTCATTTATTTCAACTATGAAAATGCATGTGTCTAATTATGCATATTTTTTTTTCGTTTTTCTTGTAGGTTTTCCCTCGCCTGAGAGATGGTTCACAGAAATTTTTGTGCAATGGCAGCGAGGGAAGGTTTGAGAACCACTAGTATAGACATAAATAAAACGCAATTGAAAAAATTTAATAGTGAGAGATAAATGGAAAAAAACTAAATAACGGTATGGTATCAATGAAATACGATAACTTTATACCAGGCTGCTTTCCTGGGGTTAATATTGCTCTTAGCTTTTATTTCCGTATCATGCCGTCGTGAAAGAAGATAATAATTATGGTATGACGTCATCAATATTTTCAACTGGAGCGGGTTTTAAAGTTATATAGCTGAATTGAACTTTAGCATACGCTTTTAAAAGCCATAAGCGTGCTAAATATAAGGCTTAATGGTTAAAGAAAGATGAACACTTTAAGTCCGTGATGTGGGCAGATGAGGGTACCAGCGTTCAATATGGGGAAGAAAACAGAAAATCAATATCGGAGAATTTTTCATGAAATGGATGAAGTCATAAACTATGGTTGAACGATGAATATTATGAAAGAGGCAGAAATGAGTAAAAATGATGTAAGTTTGTAAGTTTGGGAACTGTCTATGTTAGCCAAGTGAATATACCCCCTGCCCATAAGTTTCAGTCTCTTTACACAACTTGATGTAAAATAGGCGAACAAAATTATTCACCTCAATTTAGGCACGCATACTTCTGCAGCGCCGAAAGAATTAATATTGGGTAGATGTGCATGAAATGAAGTATTGACTTAATTGAGAGAAAATATATCGAAAAGATTAGTATAGAATAAGATGGAAAAAGATAAAATATTGAAAAGAATGAACGCAAGAATGAATTGTTTTGGAAATAAAAGTAGGAAAAATAAAAATTAATGTTGAATATATGATTTTTTTCATCTTAAAAGGGATGGACGTAAATATAGAAGAATTATATTTATTTCCAATTAAAATAGAAAAGTATGCTTACCATGACAAATACGAAGTTGTAAATTTGTAAGATATATATAAGCATTAGTAGGAACTCTAAAAAATACGAATAAACAAAGTTAAGTGAAATTCATAGCTAAATTTGCTGATATTAAATTTTGCTATGTGGCATATACTCACGAAAATTAGAAAAAAATTTAAAATATCAAATTTAGATGACATTGATAATATTATTGTGTAACAAATATGCAGCACTAGGGTGGAGAATTATTAGATCATTGTAATTTTTGGATAAAATATCAAAAAAATTGTGTTTGATGGAAAAAATAAGGAAAAATGGTGAAGAACGTATTTAATTTGAGTTGTTATCTTTATCTTACATTTCTTACGTTTGATGATTTAGACCTTAGGAACTAATTTGGAATTATTTCTCAATTCTCGTATCGGGGTTAATTTTATACTGTGTCAATATGATAAAATTTTATCACAAAAGAAAAGGGCGTATAAAGACTCTTGCGTCATTCAGTGTCGAGAAAATAAAACAGACATATTGATTAAATATCCATCCCCGGTAAAGCACCCTGTACCTAGTCAAAACCTCAACCGGGACTTATATAACAGGAAAATGTTTTTTTCAATGTGAATCTATTGTTGTCGAATGTTAGAACAACACTACAAGGTTTTATTGAATGTATAGTAAAGCAACATTGGTATCAACGTACAAGGGGAGTTGATAACAAGAAGGTAACAAATAAATTTTTCCTTTTATCCCGTTAAAAAAATTGTTGTTTTAAAAACTATTTGCTTCAAATCAAAAATATATAAAAAGCAAATCATAGTTTAAAACCAAATTTATACTTTGTATGTTTCTAAAGAAACGTAACGCGTAACGCGTAAACGCTCAGAAACAAACTCATCTTAGAGTAAAGTTACCGCCGACCACTGAAATTCTAAGAGCTATGAGTACTCAATCAAATTATGGACAATCATCTCTGAACAAAATTACGGGGAAATTGATCGAATTGAAAAACTACTGAAATTCTATAGAAGATTAGGAGGAAGCGTTACGCAACAGCAAATGCCGACCGTTGCATCTTGAAAAAGTTCAAGACAATGCGAGGAGAAACCATCTGTGAAGTAAAAATTTCACACACACGAAGTTTTTTGATCAATTCCATTTCTCTTAAGCGCAGTAGCTAATTCAGTCTTTTTAAAGCCCCGGTCTAAGAAATAAGCTAACATTGAAGGCTGGGGAAGTCAATAAAAAATATATAATCTCGAACCTGTCAAAAATACGTTGCTACTTTTGTTTAAATTGTCACTTGTGTGGGGCCTTGTTTCTGACGAAGACGTGGAAACTCATGCAAATAATGGTTTAATGTTTATTTTGTTTTATCAACTTTTTAACGTAATAAGGACAAAAATTCATCGCATATTGGAATATCTGAACCGAAAAAAGTTTGTTTGCGAATATCTTTTTCACAAGCAAGATTCAGCAGCTTCTAGCCTATAAAGGTCTGATTTAGAAATTGAAAATATGGTGTAAAAACTAAATTACTTATAACGCCAAATAAGAGCGAGAAAAAAAGAAGAAGTCCAGATTGAGAAAAATTGAAATGACTTTTCAAAAGTTTTAGAAGAAAACAATGACATAGAATAATATAACATAATTCAGGGGTAGGCGACCTACGGCCCGCGGGCCGGATCCGGCCCACGGAGTAATATAATCCGGCCCGCTATATTCACTGAATTATAGTAAAAAAAACAGCTGTTAACGATTATATTTTTACGTAGCAGAATTTATTGCAAGACACGTGTATACTAAATTATATATATCATAATCTAACAAGTATAAAATTCACAATTACACGTTTAATGAGCCTATAGTTCAATTATAATTAGACAAATGGCAATAAAACGCAGAAAAGTTGATGCTAAGTGCAAAGGGTTCAATGGCGCCGAAAATATTATAATGGAATTTTTTGAGATGCATTGTAATGAGAAAATAAATCTATATTCTATTCGAGAGATTTAGCACTGCTTCATTTTTATTATGAACAGTATCATCCGTTCGTTTTTCAACTTTCTAAAAATATGTGCGGCCCGCCAATGACTTGCAACCCTTAATTTTGGCCCGCGAGTGATAAAAGGTTGCCGACCCTTGACATAATTAGAATAAAAGAGTGAAAAAGGCGAAGTAAAACTATGGTATCGGTATCATTGAGCTATCGTTAAGAATGATTTCACAACTGCGAGGATTGCGCAACATTTGCGCAAGAAGTACCGCATACAGAAATAGTAGTGCATGGTTTAACCACCAATGGTGTGGTGAGACGTCACACAAAAAGTGAGTAATTAAATTGACTGAGTACAGAACACGACACATAGCAAATGCTTGAAACCAGGCATATTCTTGGTAAAACATGAGCAACTAGTATAAAGCAAAAGAAGATATAGTTCAGTTAACATTTTGAATGTCTATAATTATCTAAAAAATGACAGTGGTTTCCAATTTTTCTTGTTCAATTCCTCGAGCTCTGTCGTACTCTGGTTTTAATGCAGTTTGAAAATAGTTGAATTAAGATAATAAAAAAAGTCATTAAAGACTAAATATATATACTACTTTGGTAACTAATGTGTTTATATCCAGAATATACAATTGAGTTCATTTACGTATTTCAATCCCCCAGGGCTCACAAGACACCAACGAGAAATCCGTGGGAATAGACTTAGGTAAAATCCTATTGACAGATAACGTTACAGTAATGCAACTGAAAAGCAACCAGGGGGTTCTCTAAAGAAAAACTGAGCAATTTACCGATAAAAAAGAAAGAATTGAATGTTTGTATAGAAATTCGAAACTTTTTCTAAACCTGTGTTTCTTTAAAAAGTGGGGGTAAGCCCACTAGGATGCGTAGACAATTTTTTAAAGGGACTGAAGCTAATTAAAAATATTTGTTAGATTTGATTTTGCTTGTCTTATTTTGAATATTTACGTTCCGTCCATGTATATGTTTTTTTGAATAGAACATATTTTCGCCTTACTATCTGTTATTTTTAGCTATTGTTAGCTAGGTATTTTTGATGTGGCACGCGAGACTTAACAAACTCCCAAATGGGGATTGGCTTAAGAACCACTATATAAACGCTTCTAGTTGTGCATACATTAAATTGACACGTTTCTGCTCATTCGTTGAGTTTTAAATTAAAATTGTTGATGCCGCACACCGTTTGAAATGGTACTATAAATTAATTTGGCATAGATAAAAACTATTCAGACTAAGAATAGTAAATTTCCTATTCAACTGGCAAAAACTTAAATTAAACGTGTCATTAAATGATATATCATAGAGATGGCACGAAAATATGAAAAGTTTTCAACCATGTAACAATATAAAAATGTGTATTATTTTTATTCATTGAAATCCACATAACGGTTGTTATGCTGAGTTATTTAATTTCCAGAGTTTGTGCGCATTAATGAAAACATAACAAAAGACGAATATAATATGATTTTTACATCTTAATATTTAGCAATTCAACGTAATTGAACCATGAGTATGTTGAAATTAAAAGTTTCAACGCATATTGACTGGTTCAAAATCCTTCCTCCATGAAATCAATAATCGGAAATGAAGCAATAGGCCGGCCGTAATTCGGGAAAATTTTAAACTCTGATCGCGGAAATTTCGATTAAAAAAGTATTCAAATTTGCAAACTGTTTTTGTTGTGAAAAAATTCTTAGAGATATTTGAATTTGCGTGATATTTTTTAACAAAATTCGTGTAAAATAATCCCGTGTAAACCGAAACAATTGATATTTAGAAAATAGTGTATTTGATGACACACAGTGTTGAATTATCATAAATAATGAAAGCGATGTGACACGATTTCTATTCTTATGCCACAAGTACAGACTATCCCATTTTTCACGTTCAGTGCAGTCACACTCAGTCATAAGTAAAGAAGTCTCTGGGCGAAGTCACGAGCGAATACTCAAATACGGAAAATACAAAAGATATCTATATATGAAAGTCACGAAAACACGAAACGAAGTTCAATTTGAGACGGTCAAGAAATTTGCTACGGGGAGAAGGCTATAATATATGATTAAAAATGAACAGAACAATTTTGATATTTCCATTTTTTTCTAAATTTTACTCAAAGCAAGATCATCTGTATGTATCATGATGATGGAAATGCTGTCAATTTCATTTCACTTATGCATTAAATATATAATATCTATTGATCAGTTGCTATGATCTTTAATGCTTTTTTTTAATTGTTCTATAATGAAAATTTTTTTTAAAAAAACATAATTAATTTTTTATCCATAATCCATAAACAATTTAAATAATCCTTGATTTTAAACATTTTTGTCAATTGAGTTGCAAGACCAAAGGTTTAGAATTTACAGTTTTCAAAAGTTTTATTTTCCAAGTAATTCAATATGAAATAAACATGCGCAATGGGACTGTACTGTGTGATGAATAAAGTTGTCGGAATCTGTTTTAAATGTCCTTTATATTATTTTAAGTCGTAGATCATGAAACATACTAAATAAATGGAATGGTATATTTGTCTTCGAATGTGCGCTTAGCTTCTAAACCAAGGTGAACATCAGGTTTTCCAAAAAAATAATACCCACGTGGTTGCGGAATAATTTAATTCAAACAGAAATATGTTTACGTATATTCACACATGTTACTAATCAAACAGAGAGAAACGTGAGAATGCTACAGTGTTTCTCTGTTATACCCAAACTCATCCCATGGGGTAGTACCATATGGAGCCCTTCATCAAAAGAAAAATATTATTATAGGATATTATTATCGATATAAATATTGCTATTTATCACAAATCATAGAACAGCATTGAAAAATATGTTTTTAAAATATGTTCCAGTTTGTTCACTGAACTGAAAGATTGCGAAAGTCTGTAACACATAAAGATATTTCACAAATCGCAACAAACAGGTGGATATATATTTAAAAAAATACAGGGTGTCCTTAAAGTCACAAATTCGATTTTGTTACGAATTCAGTTCTCAATATATCTTAACCAGATTTGTTGTTTTT